TAAAATACCATTTTTCATTTAAAATACCTTTTTTTTTTGAAGATATTGTTGGTCTTAATATAGATGTTATTTGTTCTAAATGTATCATGATAAAATTAATGATACAATATTTTATCGCATTTGCACATTGATGCAAATGATTCATAGTGATATTCTTATTCCACGGAATTAGCGTAATATTAACAGGGTTGATAGTGTTATTTCTATTCTAAAAAAACAATAAGTCCTCTTCTTAATATAATGTTACAACAGTGTCGAAAGTTGTGATGGCTATAGTCTGTAAAATGAGAGATATTTAATATATTAGAAATACTGGGTATGTGACAGCTCAATTTACATATATATACATTGTACGATATATATGTATATACATTGTTCCCATGTTATATTATATTTCACGAATAAAATTAATGTAGCAAAATTTGAGGATTATTAAGGTTCGTGATCAGTTTAGAATCTGTTTACGATAAAACTATTAAGTCGTCAAATTCGACTAACAAGTACTAACACTTACGGAAGTGTCACTCTCGCCGATTTTAATGAAACTTTGCATATTTATAGAACTTTGAAAAATATTTGACACGTATTTTTTTTATCGACAAAGGTCCACTCTGAAGAGTGAAAACTACCTCTTAAAGGTAAGGGTAGATTTAACATATATTCATCTAATATATTAAATCTATTCTTACTTTTAAGAGATAGTTTTTACCCTTCAGAGTGGACCTTTGCCAATAAAAAAAAATACGTGTTAAATATTTTTCAAAGTTCTACAAATATGCAAAGTTTCATTAAAATTGAGTGAGTGATACTTCCGTAGGTTTACTTGTAAGAATATCTGTATACATAAACTTCTAAAAACAATTAAATTAAGTCTTAAATGTATTGATAGTAAATATATATTTTTATAAGTGTCACATTTTCATAGAATTATTTTACACACATCAATTATTACTTTTCATTTATCATCTATACAAATAAATAATTATCTTATTTGTATTAACTAGATTCAATTTTGTGTACATAATTATGACAGATGCCATTTTTTACAAATTTTTCAATTAACTATACTAACTTAAATATACTAACATTTTGTTTAAGAATAAACCGAAATGTATATCAACAGATTTATTTCATTTGTACATATACATATATTGTCAATTACACAAAAGTTAACACATGGCAGTTGTAACTGCAGTAATTATAATATTTATCATAAAAATATATTGTAATATAGATTCTGTAGTTTAATAAGATACATAAGAAGAATATTATGGAAGTATTGTGCAAATATTGAACGAATGTCTCAATAATAAATCTAGTTTAGTAAAAATTCACTTTTATTATCATTCTTTTTATATTATGCTTAGAAAAACTGCAAATTAATTTACAATAAAAAGCGTTTGCAAATGTGCAAAACTTGCATTTCATTGCAGAAACTCTTTCATGAGCTTTTGCGTACCGGATGTATCGGATGATCCATATCGGATACTGGCGGATGTTTCTCAAAATAACTAATTTCTCGCATTCCACTCGCCGCAATTTCCCAAAGATCAGGATGCTTCCGTTTGAAGTTGTCGTACCATTTCATTACATAAAGCCAAGCATCCAACTTGAAGTCGATGGCTTCCAGGCACATTGTCGCGGTTATCAATGGAAAATCGGCGATTGTCAGGCTATCTATTAATAAATATATGTATGTACAACAATTTAACAATTAAAAAT